TGCCCCGGTTAAACTCGCCAGTTCGGTTGTGAGGAGCGCAGGGAGCGGACCTTCATCTAAACGTGCTGTAAAGCAGCGCTGAGGGGCTCCCAAACCCGGCAAGGGCTTGGGATGCTGCTGTGCCAGCCCTCGTGCTGCTGCTCAGCGCTGGTGCTGTGCTCGGGTCCAAGCAGTGCAGCATCTTTATGTTCACAAGCAGCATATGGGTGAGGGGGTTTCAATCTGTTTGATCAGCTCAAACCCACTGAAGGACTTATTTCAGTGTGTTTCATTGCTCGGGCAGCCCAGAGGAGAAGGATGGTGATAGAGCTGTTTTGTTTTGTTAGGAGGTTAATAGCCAGTGTTGTGCTGTTCAGATCTGGGGTTTGTTTAATGGTACTGCAGCGTTGGGTGAAGCTGAGGCCGCATTTTTCCATGCTGGAAGGTGCTCGCGGGGTTTGCTGACAAGCAGCAGCATTACTGTGAACCCCCAAGTGCTCATTCCACTCATAAATTCCCTTTTAGAAAGTACAGAGGAAAACTCTTCAGAGATTAGGTTTGATGGAGCTGGGCAAAGTCGCATTTCAGGGTTATTATTCTGAGCAAGGTGGCTGTGAATAGCAGCACACAAACCATTTGGATGATTCAAAGCAACAGCTTGTTAAGAGTCAGCAGTCACGTAAGTCACAGCCAGTCCTTGATTAAAGGAGCCAGGAGGGAAAACAAAGCTTTAACGCTTCAAACGATGCAGGGCAGCTTTTGGGTCAAGCATGCAAGGAGAAAAAAGATCAGTGTTCCCTCATTGACATGTTTTAGTGTTAAGGGAGTGCCATCGGAAGAGAAGCAATGTGGTGAGCAGACAGGGGAGGGAAGAAGTGGCAGACTTAGGAGGGTAAGTAAGAATCCACCTTTGCCAGGCTGCAGCCGATGCTAGACATCCATAAGCTGGTTTTAACAGATCGAGGAAGAATCACAACTCATGTTGGTTGTTCAAAGTTTTATTTGCCTCTATTTTATTCTCATAAAAACACTCTAGTCTATTTGGTTTTAGTATCCAGATAGTACAGACTTCTGATACTATCAAGAGTGATATTAGAGCAGCAGTACAAACCAACCTACTTCAGCATGTAACCAAGCACAGGTGGAACTAAACCCACCCACACTTGTACAGACTAATTAGCCTGCTTTCTGAGGCTTTATAGTTAAAATACAATACTCAGTAAATGGTTATAGTCACCAAACCGTATAAATAAAATCTAACATGGTAAAATGGGAACAGCTGAATGTGCGAGAGTCAAAGTCTGTAGATAGGTATTTTGCTAATTAGAGCAATCACCAGTTAACTGCATCTATGTTGTAATTGTCTCTTACAGGCGTGAGATTTCCTCTTCATTTCCAGTTAAAGTTCGTCACTTTCATACAGTCCAGACTGCTCAGCCAAGCGCTGAAACTCTCCTTCTGGTGAGAAAGCTTGTTTCACATCCAGTCCTCTTCCATTAAGCGCCAAATACTTGCTAAAAGTTGGTCGAACCCGTAACTGCTTTGGGGCTGGAACTGGTTTGTTTGTATGTGCTGGAAGAGAGAAGAAAATCCTCTTTCAATGTGTGTGGAAAGAGTCACCGTAGAGCAACCCAGTTGCTTCTTATCTGCAGCATTAACTGGCAAACCCTTAGGAAGAATTTAACAGACCAAACCTGTATCTCAGACACCAGAGATTTATATCCACCCTCCTTGGCATCAATCAAATTGCAGTCTTCAAACAGTGCAGATAGATAGAAGACAGTGTGCAAAGGGCACATCACAGTGTCCTGACACTTAACAAAAGAGATTTTCCTGGGGTAATTACATTTTGCCTGGGTCCCTGCCTTTGGAAAGCAATCCTCCCAGCACTCTAAGCTTCATGAGGTTCACCTGAGGGTTTGCTCTGAGTACCAGTGCCAGTTTCAGTTGTGGTTGTGGCACTGTGATGTGGTACTTACTTGCAACCTCTAGCCTGGCGTGGCATGTGGCCACTCCTGCTCCGTTGACAGCAGACACGGTGTACCAGCCAGCATCTTTCTTGTTTGCATTATGAATCAGGAGGCAAATCCTTCCAGTATTGTCATGTAACAAGCTGAAAAATGAAGGTGTTTGTGTAAGTGCCACTTTAGGAGAGAAGACATTGAAATCAGAGAGTCAGTTTACATGGTGAGGAGCTGAGCAAGCCCTGAAACAATTCTTGCAGGGCACTGCAAGCTATTTAGATGTAAATACTGCATTTGTACTGTAAGCCAGGCCTGGTTGGACAGGGCTTGGAGCAACCTGCTCTAGCAGAAGGTGTCCCTTCCCATGGCAGGGGGCTGGAACTGGATGAGCTTTAAGGTCCCTTCCAAATCAATCCATTCTAGGATTCACATCATGTGAATCATATCATCGCATCATTCAGGTGGCTTCAAGGCCCTTCTGTAGCCCCATTCCATCAGCACATGATGAATGCATTGCATGTTTCAGTCATAAATCCAGGCTTCTCCGTGGGCCTCGTAACTGCTGCTAGAATTCAGGGTAGCATCTGGTCAGTTTTCTCTCTGTGCCCTCAAAAACAAGACTTATGGTCCTGTTCACTATGTGTCATAAATAAGGGGCAGGTCTAGCTTTCCAGCTTGCTACTTCTAGAAACCAGCCAATTTGGCTTAATACTGGTTATTGTTTTCTAACACACCAACTCATTAGTAGGATACCTTATTCGGTCTGTATTATATTGTACCATTTCGTTGTTTCTTTTCCAGTAAATCCTGGGTGTTGGGATAGCAGAGATCTGGCATTCAAGTCTGGCTGTATCTCCTTCAAAAACCTTTTTGCTCTGTGGCTTGAAGATGAAAGTTGGAGGCGTGTGATGTTCTTTTGCTAAATTGAAGAAGAAAGATATGAATTACTGTGAGTATTAAATACTAGTATCAGGCTTGGTTTTTAAGATTTCAGAGTGTTAATTCGGGGGGGGATGACAGGTTCCTAACTGCACCTCCTTAGCATACAGGCAATTCCTATAAGTGTAAGGGTGTAGTAGACACAGTCCAATTTAGGAGGAGAGTCAGCCAACATAGGTTATCAGTCTTGGGAGATTAACAACTCCCAAATTCTGGACATCTCACAACATCTAGATGTCCCACTAAAAGTGCTTTGAAAAAATATGGCATCTTGGATGTATGTATTAAAACAGTCTTGGAAAAGGTAAGGTGTTTGTTATCATGTGAGTCTGGATGTCTGGAGATCTAGCTCTACTTGGTTGTTTTATGTCCCAAACACATGGAGGAAGGCACTAGGTTCCTGAGACTTTCCATGTGTGGTCAGGTAGTTATTAGTGCTCTCAGTCTTACCAATTACTTCCACTTTTACTGCGAAAGATGCTTCTCCTGCACGGTTGACAGCCACACATTCGTATGTCCCTGCATCAGATGATTTGACTGCTTCAAAAATAAATGAGTGGAAACCCTTTTCTGACACTATCATTTTGTGGAACTGATCTTGATGAACCATCCTTCCATTCTGATACCACATCACATCTGGAGTTGGCAGCCCACTAACCTGCGAAGGAGAGGAAAGCAGTGAAGAGTTAAAACAGTTTTCGGGTCATAAAAGCTCTTCAGTGCCAAGGGCATTTTCATGCCCATAGATGATCACATCATGATTCTACTGCAAAATTTTACAGCCCTGCCTAGTTTTAAATATTAATGTGGAGCTGCACAGAGAGGAAGGCTTGTGGAAAGATGACCTTTAGCTACAAGACTATAGATGCTGTTCCTACAACAACCCCCTGTTCCCATCTCGTAAGGTAGTCTTGATTAGGCCAAAGATACTCATTGTGGGTTCGTAGAAGGGGAAACTCATCCTTTTGATCTCACAGCTCACACTGTCAGCAGTGCTGATATGCACACTGTTTGGATATAATGTGTGCAAATATACTGTCCTGCAGACATGCTCCAGGTTGTCCACAACATTCAGAAGTTAAGCAATTTGCAGCAAAATGGCTAAAGGTCATGCCAAGTCTGGCAAGTGTTTACTTAAGAGATCAGAAGTGATTAGGGAAAACGAAGCCAAACCACAATTAGCAGACAGCCTTTGCAGTGAAATTGCATGTGCAGCTCTAGGTTCTCTCTTACCCTGGGACTGGGACAATGGCCATGCAGTTTCAGGCCATTTTGCCTGTTTGTAATTAGGGCATTTTCTTGCCAGATTATCTGCTCCAGCAAGGGTACAGTTGCCTCAGAGAAGGCTCATTAAAGGCAGGCTAGTCCTAAACAGGCCTTGCTGAACACGTCCCCAGGATGGGTCCGCTGAAAAGCAAAAGGTTCCCTCCCAAAATGCCTTCTTTCAGCAGGGTCTTAATATTCATCCTTTCCAATGAGCTCTGGAATATGGTGATCCATATTTACCACTATTAACTTTAGCCATATTCTTATGCACCTAATTCCATTTACATTTTCCAAGGGGAAAGCATTTAGCCATCTCCCGTTTCTAGGTTTATATTGCCTGGAGAGACCCTGCACCGTCTGCCATTAGTGCTCTGGCTTATTAAAGTGCAAAGGCACTGCAGTGCAGAGGCCTCTCTCCGTGCCACACACCCCAAAGAGCTAATGGAACTGCAAGTGAAAGGCTGGCATTACTTTGAAGTCGAGCCTGCAGAATCGTCCCTCCTCAATAATTACGTCTTCAGGCACTTGTGTAAAACGTGGCTGGAAAAACTTCTCCTGGATTGAGTCATGTCCACGTTCATCTCCTCTTGAGGATGGTCTGCTCCTAAAAAGTGGGCAGGAAGAGTTAGTTGTGTAGAAGTTACCGCAGCATAAACGACATTGAAACGCCGATTGCAGCTGAAGTCCCTCAACACATTCAGGAGTCCAAAACTACAGTTCTGGTTTGTTTTGCAGCTGGAAGGCATGGGTTTGATCACTTATCGTGCTTAAGTTGCTCAATTCAACACAGAAACATGACATATGAAGCCTTCATCTTTGGCCTAATATCCAAGAGGACTTATAAGGCTGCGTTTCATCATGCTGCGTTTCAGCATTTACATTGTCAGACTAGAGAGTAATCTTCTAGAATGCGAAGCGTATTTGCCCCAGGAACACTGAGCCTTTAAACCTCTAGTGTTATACTTAGAGTTGGCTGGATTAAGATCAAAGACATCACCAGCCATCCACAAATGGTAGCATTTTAGTTGAAAGGAAGAGAATGGATTTAGTAATTACTACTTTAGAAGAGGTGATAAGTAGTGAAGTAAAACTAACATTGTCTAGAAACATTTGAAGTAAGGTCTTGAAGAGTAGCGCAGCACAAGTTTATGCATTACCTTACGTGTGTTGTAGGAACCTGCAGCCTGATGTTTTCTGCATTCTGGTGCTTGGAAAGACAAAGAGGAAGAGGTGAGTTAACATAGAAAGTTTTATCTATATACTGAACAAGAAGCCAAATTAATTTCATGTACTGATTGCTGCTTAAAAACAACCCGAATGCTTTGGAGTCATCGGGATAAGATGTAGAGGAACTCGCATCAGGAGCTAACACACTGCTTTCACCCTCAGCTTTGCCATGACAGGAACAAGTACTATTAATAGAACAGCACGACTTCTCATCACTCTGCACAGGTGATAGGTGCAGCAGTTTTTGTTTGGCACACAAGGCCTTTGGCCAGCCAATAACCTTTGTTAGAGGGGAATAGTACTACTGGCAGTATCTAAAATGAGAGCAAAGAACAGAGTGTCCTTCCCTATAGCAGGAATAGAAGTGGAATCGCTGGCAAGAGCACTGTATTGTGCCCACTTAAATATGGTACCAAGAGCAATGGACACATGCTGAGCTGGAAAATATTTCTCTTTCTAGATCACAGCACCAACTAAGCTCGCTGACAACTCCACCATCACGAGTGAATCTGCTGCAGTACCCAGGACTGATCCCTGCTGGGAACTTGGGTGTGTGGAAGATGCATTTATTACCAGTGGCTCGTTTTAGCAGTGGAGTCAGAGGAGACACTGCGTGGAAGTTTCTGGGGTGTTTGCACTGAGCCATTACGATGCTTGATTCTGTGCTCTGTAGTCTAGTCCTGTGGAACATTTAAGCTTGGGTTTAAGCTTCAAGCACAGAAGCAGCCTTAATTTCAAGGGAAGCATTATGTGAATGAGAGTTTGGCTGGACTGAACTCAATGCTGAGTCCAAAGGCAATTGTTTGTATCTGTTCATTTATACCAGTTTTGTACAATTTTTACTTATCTTGTGAAATGATGCTGTAGTGATGGAGCTGCTGCTAATTCTAATGGACTGACTGTGCAGTTAAGTTCCTGAGGAATCAGGAAGCTGAATGATGAATCAGTGACTACAGTATTTAAATATAAGACTGAACAATGGGAATAAGATCTCCCCATCTCTCCTCCCAATACTTCTTTTTATGTAGCATTTCATGCACCCTCAAAAGCTGTCAGTTATCCTGTTTTGACTGTTTCCTTGTTCTCTGCAAAAGGTGAGGCTTCCCTTGCTCTCACATCCATAATGTTCCCTTCTTGCCTGCTCCTGCCAGGTGATTGTTGGGGAGAAATAGCTCAAATGGCATAATTCTCCCTTGCTGTGATCTTAAGTGTTTCTTCTATGGAAGGAAGAGTTTTGCTGACTACACCGTGGAAGGTGTGTGCCAGCCTGCTGGCTTTATGTGCATGCAGCAGGAGGGATGTTTTCTTTGGCTGCACAGGTACCCAGTGCCACACCACAGACATTTCCACTAACTGTGGTCACAGGAGTGCCAAAGAGAGCTTTTAACTGGCCTGAATAACCAACGAGTGATGCAAGTCTCCAACTAAGATGCTTCTGAAAATGCCAGGAGTGATAGATTCTCTTCTGTCAGCGTGTGGGCTGCTAAAATAACTGCTTTGCTGTCTCTTAATGAATGCAGGCCCCTGGAGGGGCTAAAACTCAACCGATCCCACCCCAAGGCCCTGACCTCTCATAGTGAATGTCACTTACTCTGAGCAGTGGCAGGTGTAAATCTTGCTGTCCTGGCCCAGTCTGAACTCGGGCTGTCGGAGTGGGTACCTGTATCACTCACTGTGCTGCTCCCTGCCTGTCACACTACAGGGCTGTGCAGCAGCTGCTGTAATTCCTCCTTGGTGAGGTTATTCCTACAGATCAGGCCCAGCAAAGGGATGGTGTCTGAATTCCCTCCTCCTGCCACTACCCCCCAAGAAACCCCAAATCCCTGCTAAAGTGAGAGCAGTCCCTTTATCTGTTACCAGATAAACCCCATCTCTCTGCTCTGTTCAGGTACAAGCAAGTCACAGCACAAGCACCAGTAGACCATTATCCTAGAGCCCCCTTTTACCTGTGTGTTCTGCATGTTGTCTTCACTTTGTGTTTCCAACACGGATGCAGCATTTACTGGTCCGAGCAGCCTTCGAGCCATTCTTTCTTCATAAGTTAATCGCTTAAAGCAGAGGGGAGAAGAATTCTAGTCAGAAGTCCATTTACTATTTCAGATCAGCTTGTCAGAGCATAGTAATATGCCACAAATTCAGGGTGTTGTCAATAGGAGCAGTAGCTGAATAGAAACCCCACGTCTGTTCCAGAGGGTTTGCAGTCTGTGATGCCTACTGAAGTCAGCCTCAATATATACAGCGCTGAAATGCATCAAAGATTAAACTGCCTGTTCATCAAAGCCTCCCTAATGCCATCTGTGGCCTTCCACCCCTCCTCTTTCTCCACTGGGATTATTTATGGGTAACTGATGGCATTATCTCAGAAGCCAGAGTAAGTCCCAGGGTACCTTTCTGTTAGTGATGGGAAAACTTCCCAAGTCACTCAGCTGTGGATTTACTTCAGGAGCTAGAGGCATGATGGGTGCTACCTCCCCTGCTCCCAAAAAAGCAAGAGCCACACCAGCAGCAGACACAGCCAGAGAGGAGCACCACTACCCCTGAAAGCACAAGGGAAGCTTATGTCGGCGCAACAGCCGCCTTAGGAAGGTGGCAAGAACATGTTTCAGGAGGAACAATAGGTTCCTACAATAGGGATGCAGCACACAGGGATAACTCTGAGCAGAGTTAAACTGAAGTTCTGTCAGCTGGGTTACTTTAGAAGGGTGCATCAGTCCCCTGAGCACCAGAATACCTGATTCTTCACTTCCCACAAAGTTTGCCTTGGGGTTAGATTTTGTGATGTGAGGACAAGCTCTGACTGGATTTCTGCTGTGTATGGGATGCGTGTGTAGCTACTCCTGGGTCAATAAAGGTTTAAAGGAGGCTTCTGGGACTTTTCTTTAGAAGAGAATGAGAGACCTTTTGGAAAACCTATGAGAGCTTAATATCCCCGAGGTCATTACGGCTGTATCAAGTGTGGCTGAGATTGGCCAGTTGGTTCAGGCGTTGTTGGAGGACAAGGGGAAGAGGACACAGCACAGCGATTGCATAAGCCTTATTTTTAGCCTGGCTTCCTATGGGAAGAAAAGCTGGCTTGCAATGGCAGGCTTTCCTACAGCAGATAGGACACTCCTGCTAGGGACACTTTAAGTCAGGTTTGACCTAATGTATTTTTTTCCTTCAATTTAAGATTATATATATGGCACAGACCTGTTCCTACTGATGGTAATGGAAAAACTCTTTTCTACTTCAGGGAAAAGAAGATGGAAGCCTTAAACACTGGGCTTTTACTAGTCTGCCTCTAGCCAGCAGGAAGGTTCCCACGTTAGAGACCTGCTCGCCTTAGCTTGCTGTAATGTGCTTCCCTACTGGTAAGCAATTTTTTCTCCTAGATTTGGATTTATTGGTCAAGGGGATTGCATTTTGTCCCTTTGCAGAATCAATAAGCAGGTACTTACTTATTTACTTATTTATATGAGATTAAAAGACCTTCTTATAGGATGCAGACTTAAAAAGCTCCTGTGATTTCTTTGATTTGTTGTTCATATAAAAAGAAAGCAAAGAGGCTTACCACATGTGGTGATGGTCTCTAGAATGAGCTTTCAAATGTTGGTACTTCTCCAAGTGTCTAATGATTTGGGGTGGTTTATTAACCCCAGCACAGAAAGCCAGGGTGAAACAGTGTCTGGAGAACTGAGAGACTCTCCCTGAGTTTCTAGTTGTCTGTGGATGTGATGTTCAGCAGAATCCCCAGAAGAGTTCAACTTTGTACCATGGCTCTAAACAGGAACCTTTCTCCCAATCCTGGCCTTATTTATTTAGTTGCACACATTCAAAGACAGCTTGAATGGTGTGTGCTGGCCAAGAAGGTAAGATAAGAGGGAAAGGCACCGGTAGATTAAACCCATCTTGCTGCATCAGATGGCTTTCAGAAGTTAACGCATCCCTTTCTGAAGTCATGGGAGATGCAGACATTCAGTTGCCACAGCACATGCCTATAAACAGATTGACAGCAACCATCTCTTGCCACACTCAGTGTTTGGGCAGTGTTGCTCCAGCATTTCCCTCTGCTTTCAGCTCAGTTTGGAGGCTCCAGCCTCTGGGGCACTAGAACTGTTCTCCCCATCCCTGCTTGCACTACTGAGAGTCAGAGCAAACTGGTTCTTTCCTCAGCAGGTTTCCCTTACCTGGTTGCCATTTTGGAGAAGGTTGTCTTTGCATCGGAGTTTCTTTTCCAAGTCCTGAATGAGGGCTTCTTTTGTTCCTCGAATTTCATGGTCTGATGTCTTCTGCATGGAGTTGATGCTAGCTTGTTTGTTATACATTGGTTGTGAGTAACTACTCATGCAGGAAGAGAAAACAAAGTTATTCCTGTAGGCCTGCTTGACTGTTTGCTACAGCTTCACAGAATGCACACAAAATGAACCTGCTACCTAGAAACTGTGGTTCAAATGAACCCATATGGCATTTGGGAGTTAGGTAGGCTGCGTGGACTAACTGAGTATCAAAGCTTAAGGGGAAGAAGCATCATGGTCTAACCAAGTCCCCGAGTTCCTCCCACCACACTCGCAGCAGTTTGCTGTGGGTGGCTGTTCAGCATCCCTACACCCTGCAGTGTCCCTGCCAGGACTCAGATGTGTTCTAGCAGTGTTTTGAGGGAGCCACTAACCGCACTGAGCAACGTGAGCCCATTTGGGAGCAAGTTCTCCCTCAGAAACTGCATTCCTTTGCAATCACAATTGTTTGTAAGGCCCTGGTGCTGCAAGGACACAAACTACTTGACTAGGTATGAGCAAATAGCTTATTAGTTGTCCTCTTCTTCTCGGCCCCAAAAAGTTATCTCACACAGTGCTTCTGTCCAGATGGTCAATAGCCAGGCTTACCCCAAACCAGACTGGGTCTTTAGGAGTCCCCCACATAGCCTGATGCTGTAGTCCATAGTCAAGAGACACAATCACGTTTTGGAGTTAGATCATAGACTTGGTGCTAAGGAAACCAGAGCATCCCTCAAAACATGTTGCAAAGGTCTGCTCGAGGTCAGAGCACTCCATGCAGACACGCTCTAACCCAGTTTGTTACACACAGCATGGCCCTGATGCTGCAGTTATGTTCAGCAATTATTCCTATTCAAATCCTCTTCCTCCTGTCACTTGGGAATTTGTTCTGCTGGTTACAATAGGGTAGAAGGGTTATAATTCTGCTACATATTCCCAGCACTGCTCGGACTTAATAACTTGCCCACGTTATGACTTAAAAACGTTAATAATTTGCCCAACAAATTCATACATCTCCTGTCCCTGTTTGCAGCATGAATAGGAAAATAATCCCTTAACTCACAGGGTGTTGCATTTAAGAGCAGCTTACATGAACAGCATAGTGAGGCACTAGAGCCCTTTGCTATGAAGGCAGCCCCACACTACACACGTAGAACCCAGCAGTTACTCCAGATGCATAACTAACCCCTCCCCGCTCCTGCAGTACTTTAAAGCAACAGCCCGCTCTGTCTTACCTTTCCACTGCCCACAGTGCTGTGTTCCAAAGAAATCCCAGAAACATACAGATTCCCTGACTACAAACTGGTGCTTAAACCTGAATTTATACCCAAGCCAGCAGGACCCCAGCCCCTATCACCTTTCTAACATCCTCAGTTGAGTGTGGTGTGTTCTACACTGACTTTCCCGACTTCCAGCTGATATTGGCAGGAATACAAGTTGGTGAGAAGGCAAGACCTAGCTCCCTCTGACATCTCACTGACCTTGGAAGATATTTGGATTGCAGCCCAAAGGCAAAATGATATAATACATATTCAGGAAAGAATTTAGGCTTTGGCCTGAAGGGGTAAAGTTTTCAAGCGGCCCTTTTTCTGTGATGACTGTAGGTGACTCTAGAGTCACTGTATTGTAGGTGAGTGTAGAGTCCCATTGTGACGTGGAACATGAAAATACTGCTGAGACTTACTAGGAACCTTGTTTAGATGTGGGAATACTACTGCCTTCCCATTCATAAACCATGTTTGCTGAGAGAAATTCATTTGAGATGGGTGTCCATCCTCTGTTCTGAATACCCTTAAATAAGAGATTTCCATCAAATCAAACTGAACTGTTCAGAGTGGCTCCAGCAGCCCATGACATGACTGCTGTGCAGTTTAATTCCTGTTTGGATACCCATCTGTCCCCCACAGACACCAAGGGCAAGCACTCAGCCTCCTAACCCGAATCATGCAGAGTCCTGCCTCAAACATCAGAAGCCGATGGGGGTTGTCCCATTGGCTTCGGCCAAGCCCGTGCTTCACCGGATGGTTGGATTTGGGATGGTCAGTGCATGGGAGAGGCCAGGCCAGAGGAAAGCAAGGGGAGGTTAGAAGCCTGTATATACTTACTGAGGTTCCATAGGAGAAGGAGTTTGGCTGTTATAGTCGGGCTGCGAGGGTAGCACTGAGCACAGGAATGCTGCGGGGGGTTGGTTAGGCATGGATATAAGCCGTTGCCCGGATGAGGAGCTAGCAGGAGACTGCGCAGATGCAGGAGTGACGGGATATGTGGATTCCTTAGGGGCACTACAGGAAGGCGAGGAGAGCGTGATTGAAGAGCTCAGCGATGACGAGGAGGAGAATTTCTGCCCGCTGGGGTTACGAGGCTGTATTAGGATGGAGGATTGTTTGAGTTGTCTGCTTGACTCTGTAGAGGCTGCGGGTCCCGGAGGCTGCTCTTGCCCTTGGCACACATTCTTAGACTGGATAAAGTGTTTTGGACGCTCGTAGTTAAACATGGTTGGTTGACACATAGAGGAAACGGATGGGAAATTAGGGACACTCATAGGAGAGGTTTCGCGGCTGTCCTGGGTTTTTGTTGGTGATAACTGGCTTTGGATGGGTGCCTGGTAAAAACTAGGTGGTAGGCCACGAAAGCTGTCTTGGCTGGGCTCCTGGATAGAATGGAACCCTTGCCTTGCAGAATAGAGGCTTTCTTGGTGTGGATTTTCCCTTAAGGAAGACAATACAGATAAAATAAATTGCACATCACCAGCTGAACCACAAAAGTACCGTGTTGTGAGCAGTCATTAGCAACCCAAAGTGTAGGAAGTTCACAACTAAAGCTTGAGCTTAAAATGAAGAGGTTTAAGATTGATTAGAACTATTCCAGGACTGTATGAGCATTCTGGATTCCAGTAACAAGTCATGCACTCTGACTCAGGTGCAGGGCTAACTTATCTGCAAGAGTCCAGTAGATTCTAAAGGAAACAGCAACGGGTTTATTGATGACCCACACCTTCAAAAGCCTACGGGTAATTGTAGGTACTACAGCTAAGCATGATGATGCCACATATCATCTAACTAAAGATCTCTGGCTCAGACAGTTTTATGCCCTGTCAAAATACTAAATGCGCTATTACTCAGAGAATTGGCCATTTGTGCTGCGATATTCCTTATGCCATAGGGAAGCAGGAAACAGGTTCCACTTTTAAGCCTAAAACTAAACCTTTGAAACCAAGTATCCTGATTTCTGCTCCAATGGGTTTTGATTTCACAGCTTTGTATACCCAATTCACATTTGATGTTGGAATGCCAAGGATTGTGCTTCTCCAGATTTGCTGTTGGGGGTAATAATTGCCAGGATAACATAGTTGCAGGATAAAGTAGGGCAAGCCAAGCTGCTCAGACGTTCCTGAAGTTATTTTGCATGTCCTTAATATCTAACTCCAGGTTTTTCATCAACTCAAAACCCAGGAAAGTTTCACTTGAGCAAACTGAGCAAGTTTGATCAGAACTGACATAACTAAACCCCCACAATAAACATAAAGCTGCTAATAAAAAGTGAGAATATAAATCCACACAGTTACATGTGCTGGAAAAAATGGTAATCTTGCCCCAGTGGGCTCAGCTGTTTCACTGCTATATATACCCTGTATATTGTATCCCTCTCCTCGGAGAGGCCGGGAAGGGCTCTGCAGGGTCATAAATTCCCGTGGGGGGAGACGACTGAAGACATCACTCTCCTTTTAAAGCTTCAGAGCTTTCACTTCCTAAAGGTAATTGTGAGTATTAGTTGTAAATTGACTGTGCAGAAACAGAGGTTTTCTAGTAAAAATTCCCCAGCTTTCCCCTTGTTGCACTCTTGGAATCTGAAGCTGGCTTAAATTTTAGGAGCGTGTCCACAATATGGTCTCAGTTGCTGGTGCAGAAAACTCATTGGATCTTGGTTTTATACCATTTTACATCACTATCTGTGCACAGATCCATTCATTTAACCTCCAGGCTGTGCACAGAAACCGACACTTACTTCGTTCTCTAGAATCACTTTGATTTCTGTAATACTGCACTAGGACGAGATTCGATGCACAGATTCACTTGTCACAGCAAGGGCTAAGTTCTGCTTTCCTCAACTCATTCCACCTTGATTTGGGGTGGGATAACGCAATAAATCCAAAGAGACTTTTGACCTTGCAAGACTCCAGGCTGTGCACAGAAACCGACACTTACTTCGTTCTCTAGAATCACTTTGATTTCTGTAATACTGCACTAGGACGAGATTCGATGCACAGATTCACTTGTCACAGCAAGGGCTAAGTTCTGCTTTCCTCAACTCATTCCACCTTGATTTGGGGTGGGATAACGCAATAAATCCAAAGAGACTTTTGACCTTGCAAGACGAAAACACTAAGTAATAAT